GTCCTCTTTTGGAAGACCAAACAAAGTAGTTTCGCTTTCACAACGAAACACACAGTGTCTTCACGACATGGCGGCAGCAACAAAACTACAGCAAGAATAAAAGTTACACCTTCTTTATTTGTGTGAACATTTGGGCGGCGTTATGCAAATCTTCCCACATCGTGACGTAGATATGTGGGGGCGTGTTAGAACGAGCCGTTTTAGGTAGGCGTGGCTGACTCTTAACTTTTATAATGAATATCTCTTTGGATTTGAGACTTTAGTCTTTGCAACTTTACAGATCTTCTTTATGCACCAAGAGCTTGTAACACTCCAAAGAGAAAGGAAAAATTGAAATTGCATCATATGACCCCTTTAATGGCTAAAGTATCTCAGGAAAGTTCTTGATATGCTCTCGGCCCTCATCTCTTCTCATATCCCTCTATTGTTTTGGTCTTTTCCTCTTTGACTGCCACCAGCTCCTCACTTTCCCGCAACCCCCATCACAAGACTTTCCGCTCTTGTGAATTTGCAGTGCTAGTCGTGGAATTGGTGAATATCGTCACACTGCTCAGTGCTGGACTGTGTCGGACCTCATCATCCACGTCCTGCCAGACCAGGAGAATCCGGCTCAGGACGAGCTGCCTCAGGGACGGCGTGGCTCAAAGCTGTGGCACGTGAAAGAAGGGCCGTTTGTATGCTCAGCTAGCGAGTAAGAGCCACTTTGAAGCATTCACAGCGGTTATACAGCATCAGGGTGGCTCCAAATGAGAGTTTTGGCTGTTTTAGGCTGCGTACAGAACGAGGCTGAATGCACAAATCATGATCATTTGACAGATTTCACAGATCTGTCCTGTCTATTGATATTCACTTAGACATACAGAAACTGACTGTATTGCTTGTATTGATTTTTCCCATTTAGTAATGGAGACTAAAATTTTTATATATTTAGGTTTTCTCATTGCCCATAATATTATATTTTATTTTATTTTATTTTATTTTATTTTATTTTATTTTATTTTATTTTATTTTATTTATTTTATTTTATGGGTAGTTATAACAATCACATTTAGTTTTATTATTATTTAGAGAAATACTTTACATGATGTTAAGATGAACAGCAGGAGAAATGTACTTAAAACAGTTCATTTTAGAAAATAATTTTCATGCACAATAATTCAATCCCTATTGATGTTATCTAACGATCAATTATGATATACTGTAACATCAACATCAGAAGTGTTATCATCATATCATGATGGATATTGCTCGTCTTCAGTCAGTGGTCCAAGTGAGACAAAAAAATCTGACCTAATTTCTCTCACGTTGTTTTTGTTGTTTATACACATGCAACGAGATCCAGTCATGTGCCAGGTGTCTGTGAAAAAGTCTGAAGCGCCGGCTGACAGCGTGGCTTTTGTGGTTTAGATTGCAGGGAGCGAGATCAGGGAACAATTGCTTTAAAATTGCAGTCATCTCTCCTGACTGTCCCACAAAGTTGGCAAAAAGGCTTGTATCCAGAGACCCAGACAATGCAAGTGAGTCATCAAGTCTGCATTTGAGTATTCGCTGCCAGATGAAAAGCTGAAGGGATCCTACATCGCTCACTGTAATATTATTGTAATCCATACTGTCCACTTATGAAATGTACAGTGTTTCTGAAAGAGCAGCAGCCCTGGAGAGCCTGAAGAATGTGCAATGAGTTGCAAGCCTGCTAATGAGACAAAAACATTAGATTTCTGCTAATGACTATTATATTGATATTCATATGCAGCCTTATGCCACTGCAATCTATCGATGATTATTAGCATGATGAATGCGCTTTGAATGCATATTAGCGAGATGCTCTGTGATTTTGTTTTGATGCATAAATAATTCATCCAGTTTCACTTTACTATTCAGCCTCAACTATAAGTAAACAGTGGTGGTTTGACTTTCTTAAAAGTGTAACACTCTTTTTCTCTTTCAAAAACTTGATCTGTTTGTTTGAGCAGCGACATTGACATTGGTGTTTGTCTGTCTTGTTTATCAGACGATCATTAGTGGTGCTAAGCCAGGCATCAATATCAGCTTATTATTGCTCATGCTTTGCACTTTTGCATGTGATTTACATTGATGTAGAGACCCGAGCTGTAACTAGAGAGCAGAATATCAGTCTTGAGATGAACTAGTAAGCAATTGTACCTGAACAACAACTCCATAACAACATACTCAATTATATTTAATAAATGTATTTAATGAATATAGTTAGGAAACATGCCAGCATAGTGCTGGTGAATTTTGCAGCACTCACTACTTTGTTGTCTTCTTTTTTTTTTTCTTTTGCAGTCTGGCTTGAGGTTACAAGTGGCATAGAAATTACACGCTTCATCTTTAGGTTTCGAGATGGGATGCATGAAAATCGAATAGTATGAATGAGAAATGGAGCGAGAGTGAGAGAAAGCTGAAAAGAATTGTCAAAATATGATTGAAATAAAGCATTTGCATCCAGTCCAAGAAACCTGTAATTCCCAACACTGCAATTACAATCATCTTTCATGTGGAGGAAAAATAAAAAGCAATAAAACGTCTGCAAGGAAAGCAAAGTTAATCCATAAATATTCTTTCAATGTGGTTTTGCCTGCGGATGCAAACAGTTCATTTACACAATGTCTTTAATTAAACATTTTAATCAGGCTGCAATCAGAGAAAACCATTCACACATTTTTTTTTTCTAGGAAACATTATTGATGTTTTATGGAATGAAAGATGTATTGAAAAGTACACTATACCATACATTTAAATGATTATTATTTTTTTTCAATTTCAAATAACCATTTTCTATCTGAATAGATTTTAAAATGTAATTTATTCCTGTGATCAAAGCTGAATTTTCAGCATCCTTACTCTAGTCTTCAGTGTCACATGATCCTTCAGAAACCATTCTAATATGCTGATTTGCTGCTCAAGAAACATTTCTGATTATCAATGTTGAAAACAGTTGTTCTGCTTCATATGTTTTTGTGGAAACCATGGTGCATTTATTTTTTCAGGATTCTTTGATAAATGGAAAGTTCAAAAGAACAGAATTTATTTGAAATATTTGGTAACAATGTAAAAGTCACTTTTGAGCAAATGAATGTGTCCTTGCTTAATAACCAATTAATTTATTTTCTTTCTTTTTAAAAAAAAATCATACTTTCCCTAAAACTTTAATTTATAGTGTTTTAACATGTCTGCTATGATCGTATTAATAATGCCAATTTGTGTTCATGTTAAAGGAACAGTTGGTAGATGTCATTGTTACTCATGCTGTGTCATTCCACCCATGTGTGGTTGCTCACACGACATTCACCTTGACAAATGGTGCAACAAAATTTCTACAACAAAAATTAAATGAATCAGTTTTGTTCGAGTTAGAGCGCTTCATCACATTATGTACATATCACGACTGCAGTGCTGGAGGTTTAACAGTACAAAGTGATTCACATGTAACGCTGGAGCAGAATCCTATGTTCCCTTGTCACCTTTTTCCTCTAAAGCTGAATCCACAAGTCGTGCACACCTTCAGAAACTGACAGGTTTTGGCTGCATATCACGGGAACACTATTTGTCCGTTACTGACACAAAGTGCTCTTTTGCTTGTCACCAGGGAACTCATTGGCTGGGCAGCCGTGAAACTTGTCTGCTTAGTCAGAAAAAAAGGTCAAATTCAGCTAATTCTAGAGTCAGGCTAATTTTAGTGTTTTTTCCCCCCGTTCGGCTGTAAGCCTTCTGTGGGCAGATTGTCGTCACCACAGTTTCCCACAGAGAGATTTCTTTAGGGTCGCATTGTAATTGTCACAAACTGTAAGGATAGCAAGGGAAACGCTGTAGTGCTATTGTGAGCAACGAGCGCCTGTGTTTCTCAGTTTACTTACACAACACGGTCTGGCATGCTACTAGCCATTTAGCATAATATTTTAGGGTTTTAGGGAAAGGTTTGGAGACAATGAAATGCTGCGTGGCTCAAACATTCTTTTATCAGGAGATGCAGATGGGGTTGTGGAAAGTCTGTATGAACTGTATTTTTTAATTTTTTTAATGATTTGAGCATCATTTTTAAAGCAAATGTTAAATGTTTTTCTTTGGAAAAATTCTTACTTTTAATCAAGAACACAAAGGTGACACTACAGACAGTTATGTTACAAAATATTTCTATTTCAAATAAATGCTGTTTTTGAATAGATTTTCTTTTTGAAGCTTTCGATTCATCAAAGAATCCTGAAAACGAATGTACCCTGGTTTCCACCAAAATGTTCAACTGAAACATTCAAATATGAACTGTTTTCAACATTGATAATGATCAGAAATGTTTATTAAACACAAATCAGCATATTAAAATGATGTCTGAAAAAATTACATGAATAAATTACATTTTTAAATATACTAAAATAGAAAACCATTACTTCATTGTAATAAATAATGTAAAAATAATTGCAATAAATATTTTGCAAAGTTACTGTTTTTGCTGTATTTTTAAATGAAGTAAATGCATTAAATTGATCAGTATCAGTTACTATCAAATATGTTGTTATTATTTGTTGTTTCCACCTAATTTAAGATTTAGATCATCAATAAGATGCACCAAGAGCTTGTAACACTCCAAAGAGAAAGGAAAAATTGAAATCGCATCATATGACCGCTTTAAAGTCATAACAACAGATTATAGCCTATATTCTAAACTTTTTTGGCAAGTATACAATATGCAAACCTAAATAATTCTAAAGTACAAACCTAACTTCTCTAGAGTTTTTTTCATTCATTTTTAATTGCAGATTTTGAAGGAATACTTATCTATCTCTCAGGATATTTTGTGTTGTTTTGTTTTCAGTTTTTGTTCAAACAAAAACAGTAAACTGAACATGTACTGGTGATAAGCCATCAAAAATGACTGAAATGTCACGGCTGAGGTTGTCTGTTGTAATGCCAAGTAAACGGTGCTGTGTCACGGCACAATCTTTGACACGTAAAAAGCTTTTGGAAAAGGGCATTACGGGTGACGCCACCAGTGACAGGAGCAACAGAAAAACAGCAGTGAGGATGTTATGGATGTGCACCTGCAAGCTGAGCTTTATGGTGTGTGCAAAGTACTTTGAGTTGAGATTTAATCTACTAAACAGTGGGAGTGAGCTGTAAGAGACTGTGATTAGTGTTGTAAATGAACCAAAAGGACTCTACTGCATCACCAAAAGGTTTTAAACTATGCTTAACCCCTGTCTAATGAGTAAACGTGGTTGTATTAGAACACTCGTTATGACGTGAGCTAAATTCATAATAGATTGAGATGTTTAGTCGCAATGCGTTCCGGCAGAAATGCAAAATTTGATTTTGCCACCAAAATATTGTACAGCCCTGCCTTTTAGTCATATAAGACTGTACTTCATAAACACAATGCATTTGATAAGCGTAATTGGGAACTGCATGCTTGGGTGCACGGAGAGACTGACATACTTAATACTTTTTTCAAAGCTGCATGCTATTTATCTTTTTTTTCTCAAAAGAGATTGGTCATGTCGAAATCGTACTACTCGTATTGTTTCTGCAGTATGTATTATGTTTCTAAAATGTGTGAAACAAAAGCATGCTGTAGAGAATGCTGTATCCCACAATGCATTGCGCAAATGCATTTCCAGTGTGATCAACGAACAGACAATCATTTCAGACACAAATTTCTTATTCTTGTCTTACACGGCAAAAAATTAGTAAAAACGTTTTGTTTTAACCCAGTGTTGGGAAGGTTACTTTGGAAATGTAATACGTTACAGATTACAAGTTACCGTATTTAAAATGTAATAAGTAGCCTAATGTAACTATTTCAATTAGTTTATTAAAGTAATGTAACTGATTACATTTAGATTACGTTTCTGAATTACTAATGATTGTTTTCAACTTAAACATTTTGAAAGCAGGCAGGGTTATTCTTACAGTAAGACTCAACTGATTACTGTCAGACTTCTCAAAATCCTTCATCACTTGAATTAAGTTTAGAAAAATGTAATTTTAAAGTAAAGCCGCTATAAAATCAGACTTTAACCCCTCTTTTTTCTTCGAGATTGTTCTGAGGTTAAATACAGATTTAAAATCATGACAAGATATAGTTTTATAGCTATGATACTGTTTATGAAATCAAATCTTTGCATAGCTACACTCTAAAAAATGCTGGGTTGTTTCAACCCAACTTTGGGTCAAATATGGACTAACCCAACCGTTGGGTTAAATGTTTACATTAAATTTTTAACCCAAAAGTTGGGTTAGTCCATATTTGACCCAAAGTTGGGTTGAAACAACCCAGCATTTTTTAGAGTGTATGACAGGAAACACTGACATCTAACAATGCCTTGGAAAAAACGGTTACAAGCATAACAAGCATATACATAAATCAAAATAGGAAATTAAATAGTTATCGAATAAGCTTGTGTCCTATTCTGTCCTAAACTCCTGAAACAGTGGCGTCTCATATTTTAGAGCACTTAATGCAAATTGAAAAAGAAAGGAATCAATCAAATCTGATTGTGTGTGAAATTAAACATGAAATTTCCCAACTTAAACTGTCATAAATTTGGAATGCTTTGGAGCACAGACTTAAGTTTAGTCGCTATTTAGAGAAGACACTTGGCAGATTATTGAGGATTTGGAAAACGTTTTAAAAAAGTGATATAAATAAGTCACAGAAGTTTAAGTATATTATTATGAAAAATGCTAACTTTAAAAAAATACTACTTTTAAAGTTCATATGAAATATATAGTTTCCAAAACATGTTTTACTCTAGAACTGACCATAAATCCAAAGAAGTTGTGTTCCAAATTTGAGGTTGATATTTAAAAAAATGAGCGTTCAGAAAGATTTTGTTTGGGCACATTGCAAAACGTTTCCACTGGAAATTGGCTTCTCATTTATTTCCAATGCTGAACCTTTTAACCTTTTCAAATAATGTCCATGATTTATTTCTTACTATTTTGTGTGTGTGTGTGTGTGTGTGTGTGTGTGTGTGTGTGTGTGTTCACATGGCACCTTTACCAATTACCATTCTGATGAACTAAAGAATTCTAAAAAATTACATTTATTTAAATTAAATTGAAATTGGGTAAGAAAAATGAACTTAATTTAAGGGGGAAACAAGCTTATTCTTCTTACCCCACTGTAAGACTTTTTTTTCTTGTTTATTAAAAAATAAAAAAAAATATTTTAGAAAATAAGAATTCATATCTTAAGTCATTCAGTTCTTTAAATAAATGCATCTTGATTTAAGAATGTTTAGTTATTTTTACTGGTAAACAAGACAAAAATACTAAGTAAGAAAATGCAGCTAAGACATTTGTAAACAAAATTGGATAAGAAAACATATTTATCAAATGAACTACACATGCATCATAATGAGGCCATTTGACAGCGTACCATACCATTTCTATTTCAAATACAGTAGTCGTCAGTATTCAGTGTATATCATGTAGTATGCAGTATGCATATGTTGTAGCACGTGGTGACCAGAATATTATTTATGAAATATGACTCTGAGAGCCAAATGTCTTTGCTTTCTGAACTGCATACTGCAGATCCTCTCATGCAAACAGAAATACATTTACATAACCACTAGTAAAATCAATTCTTTAGGTGAATTTCACTTGCAAACAAAGACCACTTTTATTCTCGTTGTCCCCTATGGAATGAAAATAAGAGCCATATTTAACTGCATGACCCTTGACCCTTGTTTCATTGCAATGTGGTTAAATCCCCAAGAGTTTCACGTCATATTTACACTGCATCAGGTCTTTTTTTATGACGATATCTGCAAGCAAGAGCATGATTAAATGAGTGACACTTCATGTGAGGTGCTTGTACAAATGTAATCTTTCTGCAACAAAATTAAATGAATCAGCAGAGCAGGGCCCATCATCTCAGATGAAGCGTGGGAGGTATTTAACTAATACACGATGCTTTAATTCCACCCTTCACTTCAGATGTGCACTGTAAAAACTCTTTGTCTGCACAGCAAAATCATGAACAGGCAAATCATTTGCGTGAGTTGAATACTTAGATTTTTGCTGTAGCAAAGTAAAGAAAAGGTGATTCCTGTCTGTTAAATTTCTCAATTTTTTACTTATTGTTGCAGCAAAAGCAATATTATGTGACTTTAATATTTTGTACTGTATATTGGCTGGACAATGGCAGCTCTTTGCGTACTGTGTAATGTTTAGAATAATCAAATGTTTAGAATTTTTTAAAAATGTTTTTGAAGTTGTTTATGTTCACCAAGGCTGCATTTATTTGATAAAAAATACAGTAAAAATAGTAATGTTATAAAATATTATTACAATCTAAAATAACTGAATATATTTTAATAATATATTAATTTATCTCTGTGATTCAAAGCTGAATTTTCAGCATCATTACTCCAGTCTTCAGTGTCAAAAGATCTTTCAGAAATCGAGCTCAATGTCATCCAAAAAAATTAATAAAAAAATGAATAAATTCAGTAAATAATTTTTTTTCAGCAACTTTTTTTCACAGTACCAGTTTCCACAAATCTATTAAGCAATAAAAACTCTTTAACTCTGATAACAATAAGAACCATTATTAATAATTGGGCAATGATAATAATGGACCGACCACTATAATGATTTTTGAAGGATCACGTGATTTTCAATTAAATGAATGCAGCCTTCGTGAGCAAAAGAGTCTTCTTTCATTAAAAAACATTTAAAAAAACTACTTGCTTTGCATTAGAACATTCGCACGCAGCAGAAATCAGCACGATGCACGACTTCATTACTGCTAATACCACTAAGAAACTAAACAGCAAGCCCTGCAGATTAAGAGGAAGATGTTGGTATGACTGCAGCTGTGTCACTCATGTGTCTCTATAATGACACTCATAATTAAAAGCGCATTAGTGTCCTCTCTTAAGGATGCGAGCCAGTGACAACGACAGCTTGGCAATCCATTATTCACACACCATTGCACCCGTAACTCCAGCCTCACCGTCAGAGGAGAAACCGACGGGGAGCACAGCAGACAGAGATCTCACCCCTGCAGAGGAAGTGGAGAGAAACAATTGCTTCTGTCCCATGCTATTATGAAATACAGAATAGGACTGATTGGATGCCAGTCATTCTGATTAAACTTTTAGAATAGGCTTACATATTAATACAGCATTTCAGGGACAGTGCCTTGATTTTATTTTCTTTTTTCTTTTTTCTACTTTTCATTTAGCAGTTTTTTTCTTCTTCTAAATGGGCAGACTCTATTTTGTCTAAGTAATTTAAAGTGACTTGCAGTTATGATTTTATTTATTTATTATTTATAAATGAAGACAAAAATTAGACAAAAATCTATTCTTCAATATTCTATTCTTTCAGTATTGTATTCTACTTTCTCATATTTTCACATCCTTGAAATTAACTGAACTGAATTAAATTATTTTTATAATTATTATAAATTCATCCATCCATCCATCCATCCATCCATCCATCCATCCATCCATCCATCCATCCATCCATCCAATATATTATGCTTTTATATAAATACAATGGTGAAATTTTTATTGTCCTGCAGGGTTTGAACCTACAATCTTTGTCACCAGCTTCTCCCTACATTGACAAATCAGTCTTTCAAGATGATTTTATGAAAGTATTTCTTTTATTTTTCTAAAGAAAGGGAGCAACATACATACAGGATACAGATAAAAATACAAATATCAGCATATCTTTTATCTCTGGTCCAGGATTTCATAAGTCTGTACATGTGAGCATGGCAAGCGTTGTCTTTTTTTTTTTTTTTGGCTGATATTTGTATGAAATGCACGCTGCAAGGCACAGCCAGGTGTGGACTGTGATCACAGAGAATGATGAACATACAGAAGCAGAGTGTGTCACAGTGTGCTTGATGTATCGTCATAATGGAATCTTAATGAAGAAATGTTTCAGGTTCAATCTAAGTAAAGCTATATAGACAACATCTGTGTCGTGGTGAAAATAATTTCCGCTTCAACCCTTCAGGATGTAAAAACAAGCACAAGGTGCATTTACCCTAAAGCTCTTACAGTGGTACCCTGTTTGGTTCGTCTTTAAACAAAGATAAATGTTTTGAAAGTAAAGTGACCAAGACTTGAACATAATTTGTGTTTACGTGAAACAGTGATGAAATCACTTACTGGCCTTTTCTATACAATGTTATATCCAATATAAAACTCCTCAAAACCTTTCAAAGTGACTTCTATTGTAAGTGCATCAATGTAAACAAGATCAAACTGGTCTCATGTTGAGCTTGTAATAATTTGTGTTAACCAGGGTCATTAACGCCGCTCTTTATACATTAATTATGCATTTACCAGCGGGCAAGATTATTGTATGTCTTTTATCCAGTAAGTCTTTTATCCAAAGCGACTTACAAATGAAGAACCTCACAAGCAATTTGTCATAAACCAATGTTTTTTTTGGTAACACTTTATTTCGATAATCCACTTTAGACATTCTTCTAACAGTAAGTAACGTTGCAACTACATGTCAACTAGCAGTCATGTCTGCTTAATATCTTCTAACACTTTATTTTGATGGGTCCACAACATACAACATACTGACTGTCAGAAACTTTGCAAGTATATGTCAACTTAACCCTAAACCTACTCTAACAGTCTACTCTGAGAGTTAGTAGACATGTAGTTGCAAATTAATGAGAATTTGTTGACATGTAGTTGACATGTAGTTACAAAGGTACTTATAGAATGTCTAAAGTGGACTATCAAAATAGAGTGTAACCTTTTTTTTTTTCTTCCTTGGAACATTAAAAATTATTATTATGTTTTTTTTCCCCACAGGTGAATTAGAACTGGGGCTATTAAGCACCAAAAAGGACAAAAAATACAATAATATCCATCCATCCGAGTTGTGTCCCAACTTTCAAAGTCCTCTATGAAGCCATGAAAATAATGTATTAAATCCAGAAGTGCCAGAAGACTTGGAATATAGTGCACACATCAAATGGACCACTTTTATTGTACTCTTTGAAGCAGCAGTTCCTATTTGTATGAGCCAATTCGATATCCTGAGGTTTTGATCTGGTTAAATTGTCCAGTGTAGTTTCAAGTCAGTGTCTCCCTATGATTGAGATCATGTCACAGAGGTTGTCAATAGAGCTTAACTTGGAAACATTAATTGAACTCTCTCTCAAATGTCTCTCTTCAGTTATTGGGATCCTGTGAGTGTTGCATACATGACATGGATGATGAGTGCGAATGCAGGTGTGAGTGTTTTCCTTGCACTCATGCTTGATGTGTCTGGTATTACAGTTTAAGGAGGAGCAGTTTATCCTTCATACAAACATTCACAAGCACAGATTGAGATTCAGTCAGCGCAGTTAACCTCTAACCACCGCGTCTGTCTCCTGGGTTAATGTACATATAGATCAACACTGACACAGAGAGACTTACTTGTCATTGGGGTCCAAAATCTGTCGCTACTAAGAAATGCTTCTATTTTGCATTTTTTAAATTTAATTTGGTAAATGTTTTTCTTTGCATATTGTATTATTAGCATGACAAATTTAGTGGAAAGTTTAATTGAAAAGCTGACCTGGAAAATTAGCATAAATTTAAGGCCAGTGTCATTTACTTGCATTAATGACCTGGAAATAAGACTTGATGACACTACTTGACGAGCACATTTTGTTTCCTCTTGCTAACAAGAAATTAGGGCTGGGCATGCTGAAGAGTTTTTTTTCCAGGTTTTAAAGGAATAGTTCATCCAAAAATGAAAATTTGCCTAAAATTGACACCCTCAGGCCATCCAAGATCTAGATGAACTTGTTTCTTCATCACATCATCACTTCATCACTTGCTCACCAATGGATCCTCTGCAGTGAATGGGTGCCATCAGAATGAAAGTCAAAGCAGCTGATAAAAACATCACAATAATTCACAAGCAGCCGAGTCCATTAATTAATGCCTTGTGAAGCGAAAAACAATGTTTATAATCAAAATCCACTCGTTTAGAACCGTTTTGGAGTCTGTTCGCTAATAAATGGAGCTTGATCTGTGCATATTTCTCTCTTCATATTTATCAATTTTATCAAAGTTTAAAAAAAGCATCTTTATGTATTTATTTCTTACAAATGCACATATTTTTTACTTCACAAGGATTCATTTGATGGACTGGAATCATGTGGATTACTTTTTATCTTGTTTGGACTCTTATTCTGACGGCACCCATTCACTGTAGAGAATCCATTGGTGTGATGTAATGCTAAATTTATCCAAATCTGTTCTGATAAAAAAACAAACAAAAAAAACGTAACCATATTAGATTGCTTGAGGGTGAGTAATTTTTCAGCAATTTTTCATTTTTATGTGAACTCTTCTTTTATGATTTGCTTTTCATTTCCGTGGCTTCAATTTATTTTTATTTTTTTAAAATGTGAGCCACTGATGGAAAAATCAAAGGATACCATGGAAACAGAAAAATACATAAATTGAAGTTCAAAAAAATCAACAAATGGAGTTTTCTGGTTCTGTTGGTTTTCTAGCCTTATAAAGATAAAGACAGGATGTAACTTCACAGCATTTCTATGTTTTTAATAAGAACATAAAGAACAACTATGCTTTGAAAATCGTATTTTTACACAAAAGACGTCCTCAAATTTAGGACAATTCAGGAGAGAGCAAAACTGGGCAATTTGTCCTTGACCCTTTTCACACATGAGCTCAAAATGCAAATCAGTATTTACACCTTCACCGTCTGTCTACTTCAGTTCAATCATAATGGTACAGAGCCTTGAACATGTTCAGCTAATAGAGGCCTCTTAGAGAAGCAAATTGCATCATTTGCGTTTTCACCATCAGCCTAGTTTTACTTTAGAAACCCAAGGTCGTTGTGCACGCTGAAAAGTGGATGGCTAACAGAAATATGCATGCATATTGAGCATATGTAAACATGTGAAAGGCCTCAGAGAACTATGGGGGAAATCTTTTTAATTTGACCAATCATTTCTTGGGAGGTATGAAGACACTTCATCTAGCTTTAAACCGAGAGGCATGATTAAGCAACCGAGACGGCATTTTTAGTTCTTTTTTATTATACCTCTGACTAAAGGATTTCTAAAAAAAATCAATAAATCAGGGGAGAGCCGTTCTCCTAATCTGAAATCTGTGAATTATTTGGCTTGTTCTTCAAGAGGATGTGAAATGTTACTAAGTAAATTGCACAGAAACCCCCACAGTCAGACCATCCCTGCAGTGACATTGATAGATTGTGTGTTCTTGGCAGACTTTAAGGGTGGCCATTTCTCACTAAAGGACACATGATGGCACACAATTCAATGGTTTCTTTTACATCTTTTCTCAGCGGAGTTTGCATAGGCAAACCTAACTCTCACTATTGCTCAGAATTAAGAGCTGTTTTAGTGCGTGACTCATCCATTTGTGGCTCATCCTCAGTGTTTGTACTTTGGGCATGAGATACCACAAATCACGCGGCTTGTTGAGGAGAGATGTGCTATTAGTTTTCTAAGTGATCTGACTTATGATTTCTGCCTGGCAGGTGATCAAACAGGCAAAATATTCCCTCAGATATTGAAGAAAGGACCTAAGCCTTTAATCTAGAGATCAAAATATCATAGAGACTTGCATGTGGGCCTTTATGAATTGGGGTAAATAACCCAGCACACCATAGCATTGTACTGAAACCATTTAGTACACCTTAGCAACACGCTGGATGGTCAGTTTTGCACGTGCAAGCATCACATTTTCAGCAAAAGGTATCTAGTTACACTCTTAATAATAAAGGTTCCAAAAGGAGTTTTTTTTGTGGCAATGCCATTTAAAGAATCATTTTGGTTCCTCAAAGAACCTTTCATGGAACAGTTCTTAATTATTTTCTTAGTGTGCAGAACATTTGAATA